CCAACGACAACAACGTTGACGACAAATAATATTGACCATCAGCCAATATTACTCAAACACAAAGAAACAAATAAACAATGTTGTCACGTAAATCAATGAACCAATTCAAATCATTTTAAAATGATTATGATGATCATCATCAATGGATGATAATGATGGCACACACATATGTGGTGTGTGTAAGTGCGTGTGGTTTGTCTATGTGTTGTGTGTATGTTGGTGGTCAAATCTTATCATTTTGATTCAATCTCCTGCAAGTTCGGAGACAAAACTTTTTATCTTTTTTAGTGAAACAGAAAGATAAAAAGAAGAAAACCCATAAATAGCACGATAAACATTTGCAAAAATCTAAAAATTTCTGTCTATGTCTATAGGTAAATAGGGTAAAAGTCACAATTTTTGTTTTTTCACAATGAAAAAAAAACTTTTACTTTTCGGCTAGAACCAAAGATCCCAAAGAAAAAAAAATATATTCATAAATTACCAAGATAATGAAGGAAGTGAAAAATTTGTTTTTCACACAACCACAAAAAAAATATTGTCATTATCAAATCAAATAAAACCATATGGTCAATCATAATCGTCGTCATCATCATCATAATGATAATCATCATTTTTGATTTGAGAAAAAAAAATTTGAAATTTTCGACTTTCGATTCGGTCCCGACGAAAACATCCGGTAATTCGTTTTTTTTTCTTGGTTCAGGTGATTCATCATCTTGGCCAAAAGAAAAGAAAATCATGAAAATTCGTTGGAAAAAAACAACATCCAAATACATCACACACAGGTAGGCTGTTTTTTTCAAATTTGATGATTTTAACTGGTAAGTACCTGATATTTACGCGTAACGGTCATTCAGGAATTTTCGTCCTTTCAAACAAAGATCCTAAAGAAAAGTAAAGAAGAAAAAAAAATCAACGACTTTTTTTTTGCCACTGTATACCCTATGGGTAAAACATCATTGGAATGTTTGTCGTTATTTTTTTTCTTTATCGGTTATGGCTGCCTGTCACCGGCTGCGTTTTCAAACACACATACATCATACACAGGTATGCACATAAAACACATCCGATAATGATGATGCTCAATGACAAAATAACAAAGCAGAAAAAAAAAGATTGGAATGCAAGACATGTGACCTATGTTTGTTTGCCAAAAAAAAAAAAAATTCAACGAACATTTTTCAGGTTGACACACACACAGGCAGCATAACATCAGTGTTTTTTTGTTACCTTGATGATATTCGTCGGTTGAAATTTGTTTTTTTTTGGAATGTAGTTTTTTTTTCATTGTTGGTTGAAGGTGAATAATTGAATGAATGAAAAAAAACCAAACGGATGAGGGTATTTAAATGTCCTGGATAACAAAAAAGGATGGTTTGATGGATTTCATTTCATTCAAGAGATGAAAAAGTAAGAAAATGTTTGGAATGCGTATGGCACACGTTTTTTTATCCGTTTTTTTTATTTCGTCAAGACATGTGTGTGTGTGTGTGTGTCTGTCGATGGTTATCCAGGTGGATTGAATTTTTTGTTTTATTCAACGGAAATCTTTTTGTTTTTCTTAAATCTAAAGATTTTCAACGACTTTCATTTTAATCAACAGGTTTTTTCTGGTTATAGAAAAAAAATTATATTTTTTTTTTGAATGACATTTATGGATGATCCATCCGTTGTCCGGATAATTTGAAAACAAAATGTTGATGACGATGATAATCGGATACTATTTGAACAAAACAAAAAACCATAACATTTTTTTCATCTTGGATAATGATTTCGCATACCAAACATTTTTTTTTATTATTTTGGCCGCGTTTTTTTCATCATCATTTTCA